TTTTGTGTATCATGACCATGCCCTGATTCATTACTGGCTGCTGAGGTTGAAGGAATGTCACTCTTTCAGGAACTACTGAGCACAACCCCTTTTCAGTGCTACATCTCCCAGGGTTCCATGAATCCAAACAATAACAGAAATTAAAATAAAACAATGACTCAGGTATAATTAAGACTAAAAAAGATAAGAAAATATAAAGAAAAGAGGTAACTAAAATAATAACTATACCATAATCTAAACGAACTCTAACCCTAGCCTGAATCAATTGCCCTCATAATAAATTTTAGGAGAGTCATTGCCAAAGGCCATCACAGACATCCAGGGTCGTCTCCATCACATTGGGGAAGAAATCAACAACAAAAAGCTGAACATCCTCAAGATACAGCAACAGCAGAAGCAGTTCCAGGCGAGGGGCCTGAACAGGTGAGAATGAGTCTATGTTTGATGGGACAGGTGATTTAAGAGGGTTAAAAAAATCCAGCAGCTCAAAGCAGCTTGTCACATGAAGTTTGTGCTTAGAAGACGGTTCTATTTTTGTATGGTATCGCTGCCACAGTTTCTTTTGTGCTTAGCTTTGGTAAGTTCTTTGGCTGATGTCTCGCGAGTATTGTGATAACAAATTTGTAAAATGTCAACCTACTGCTTTTGCAAACTACCACAGTTTTGAGCGGCAGGGTGCCTACAATGTGGATTGGTTATGGATCGGAAAACTCTAACATTCATTGGCAATAGTGTGACCTATCTGACCAGAGTTACAAAAACTGTGCACAACTGGGGATTAAACATTTACAAGCATTCAACTCGTGGATGTCTGTAAATGGATATCACCAAAGCTTTTGCCGTGGCCATAGCCACAGCCATAGCCACAGCCTTAGTTACAGCAATAGGAGAACCAAGAATAAGAGCGGCTTTGCTTTGGTTGTGATCTGCAGCAGTAGATTTTATTAACACTTGAGTATGAGTTCGTGGCCATAACTGTTACCATCACCATTTTGGAAGAATGGGAACTCTCTAAAGCAAACGAAGCAGCATTATGAAAATGTCAAAAGCATTTAAATTAAAATTTTTAATTAAGAAATTTCAAAAATGGCCTTCAGTAGCTGACGGAGGGCGCTCTGCCCAAGGTTTAAAATTAAGTAGAGAGTATGTAATGATGCAGACCCCGCTTTGGCAGACTCTATTGGGCTACGTTTGTTGTGCTCTTGTCTTTGACAGCAGCATTCAGCAGGCTGAGCTTGAGTACCGTGTGGCCCTGGAGGAATCCTCCATGCTGACCTTGCATCAGCAGCAGGCCCAGCTCCTGGCCCAGCTTGAACTCAGCTTGGCAGACCACCAGGCCAACATGGAGAAGGTGCGAATTACAGATTGTAGCTAAGAATCGTCGGTTTGGTTATTCTGCATTGGGAGGGATGATTTGGGGCTATGTTGAGGGATTTGTTGGGAAGAATATGTGTGAGAGTTTGTGTGGCAGAAGAAAATCAGATGGTGATTTTGAAGAAGGAGAGATCTCTTGCTACGAAATCAAAATCGTCTTCATGGTGTATACAATACCCAATGTCGAGATCACACAAGACCAGCACAAGACCAAAACAAGACCTCCAATCTGAATTCAAGCCATAAGCTATTCAATTGATTGCAACAAAAGCATGCCTTTTGTCATTGTTCACCCTGTTACTGGTGACTGGTCTTGTGAATGGTCTTGTGACTGGTCTTCTGAATGGTCTTGTGATGGTCTCGACTACAGCACTGACAGTACCATCTGAGAGAGCAGGTTTTGATTGCAGAGTAATGATGGAACTATCGGGCCCTGCCAAGAATTTGTTAGCAAAGATCACAGCCACCCTGTTTCCTTTCATTCAACATCCAAGAGTGAAGATCTTGGGGTCAAAGCTTCATGAATGTCCATGGTTTTCTTACCAAAAGCATGACATTTCCAGCATGGTGGTTCCCTGATACATCATTGGCATTCGTTGTGCATACTTTGCACAATGGTTGTACTCAGGGACATGGGAGTCACTGCTCTTAAGTTTATTTCACCCTTTTTTTTTTCATTGATTGACTTTTCAATCTTTTTTTATTTTCAGAGAAAAGCAAGCGAGCAATCACAACCGCTCTTCTCGAGTCTCCAAGCGGGCCAGGACTACTCACTTTACACTCTCCACCAATCACGAGGCAAGCAGAGCTGGGACTTCACATTGGGCGCCAATCAGAACGGTCGAGGAGCAGTAGTCCAACGATGCTCAGAAGACAGTCAGATGAGAGTAGGGGACAGGTATGGGAGGTAGAGATTTGGGGCTGGAATCTTCTTCGGTTCATACTCAAAGTCCAGTGCACTATTATGCCAGCATTCCCATCATCTATTTTTGGACAAAAAAATTTCAAATGCGGCTTTTGACATCATAGAAAAATATTTCAAGAGAATCCCTTATTAAAAAAAATGCATTGAAATTTAGCCCACCACCCACTACTCTGAAACACCATCTAGAAATGGCTGCAAATGTGTAGACCATGCACATGTACATGTGCTATGCTGTGCCTACATTATTTCAGTAATGCTTATCTCACATCATCAGAAGCACTTAACATTAGTTGAAGTATGCTCACTTCAGCAGTGTTGTAGTTGAGACCAATTAAGACCTTTACAAGACCAGCTCAAGACCTCCAGTCTGAATTCAAGTCACATGCTATTCAAATGAACTGTAACAAAAGCATTCCTTTGTCATTGCTCACCCTGTTACTTGTGACTTGTCTTGTGCATGGTCTTTTGTCTGGTCTGGTGATAGTCTCGACTACGGCATTGCACTTCAGTATTGCATATATTCTGAGTCAGTATTGTATTCGAGTCCATCACAAGTCCCTTCACACGTCCAGTCACACATCTTCAATACAAGACCAGTCATAAGGTACAGTGTTAACAATGACAAAAGAATGCTTGTGTCACTGTTCATTTGAATAGCTCGTGACACTGCTTAAGACTGGATCCCTTAGGATGCACACACAGAGACTAGTAGGGACTCGTGATGCGCTCAACTACAACTCTGCTGTGAGTGAAGTTTAATCGTCAATCCTTCAGGAGTTGTGTTGAAGATAAAAGCCATAATACTGGTGTACATTATTATGACGGAATGAAATCACATTCCAGGGTGCTGGAGTTGAACAGGGAGAACGTCACCAACTCACCGATAGCCGAAATCCTCCAGAGTTTAGGCAGCAAGTCACAGGCTCGGCTGGTGCTAATGAGGGAATCGGATGATGCGGACAGGGGACCAGACCTGGAGGAGATGGAGAGGTTACACGAGCACCTGGAAGCAGTGGAAGGAGATAATAATAGACAGATGGAAGAAATCAACAGGCAGGTCCCATGTTATCTGCTGAGCCATAGATCTTACATAATGATACATATCCCCATGTATAATTTGCAGGTTGTTACACTAATTTGTAAAGTTGTGCCCAAGATTTTTCCCAGTGGAAGAGGACAGTGGATATTATAAAAAAATGCAGGCGTGCAGTTTAAGGGAAGTGGGACACTGGGTAGATGTTATCATATACTTTCGTTGACGAGAAGAATTTCCCTGACAGAGAAGTGAAAGGAGAATACACTCTACCCTGAATCCCCTATGGTGATGCCCTCGTCAGTAGCTTCAACTTTGTGACTAATCAAGCTGAGACTGTGTGCATATCTTGTCTCTAATACTTAAGTATAACCAGGGGCATATTTTTATGGAGCCACTTAGCCGCTTGCAGAAAACCTGTGCTGACTTTAGCAAAAGAATGTGTATTTCACTTTGTTTTACTTCAGGTTAAAGGGGTTTGAATCTCAGGCAAGACAAGCAACTCAGTTACAAGTCATGGTGCAGAAACTTCAATCACAGGTAAAGTACATTAGACACTGATTGTGCAGTGGGTCTTTTCCTGAATTGTGAACTCAGTGAATTATAGGTCGCTTGTTCCAGGCAGTAGTCATGATTATCAGAAGGGGGGGATGCATTAGTTTGGGGGAATCTCCAGGCTAGGGGGGCTTAGGGGATGCTTACCTGAGAACATTTCTGGTGCATTTAAAAATTCACAAAAATAGAAATAAAAGGCGTCTGGTTTGTGGATGTTTTCATAAGTGAAACAGTGGAGGATTATAGAGGGTTAGAAAGGGGCGGTTGTTTGGACACCCCCTCCGTCCCTCGTTTATGTTGGATTTTGTTGTTTTCCGCTTAAATTTTGTTGAGAACGACTATTAAAGCTGTGCATGGCATGGTGGTTTGGATTGAAGGATTTTGTGCGGGTTTTTGGCAATTGCTTGGCAATGGATTGTAAAGACAAGTGAAGATGGGTTTAGTCATTGTTTGGCAAACAGAAACTCCTCCTTATAACACGAGAGAGGAATTGTCAGTGGTCAGGACATAGAAGGAAAACTGTTCTTGGTAATATAACCAAATCTAAGAAAAACATCTGTAATAAAGGACTGGCAATCCTTGAGTTGTTGATGGAAATTTAACCGTGGCAGCGAAGATGAAACCGCTCAACTTAACATTTTGTTGTTGACCAGGCATATTTGGATATTTCTGCTTTAACAGTTTGCATTTGCCATCACCCAACCTCCCATTCTTGGGTGATATTCATCCGGTGATGTCATGGCTCTTTTTTTCCGTTTAGCTCTCAGATTCAGAGAAGCGGGCCGAGAAGTTGGAGGAGCAACTTGTGGCCAAGGACAAGGAGCAGATCCTGAGGCAGCTGCAGGATGACAAGCACCAACTACAGGTGATGTTGTTGAGGCAACTTACATCATGGGGACAAATATGACAGGGGTCGAAAGCATCGACATATGTGTTAACCTGTGGCGTATGATTCCAAACCGTGATATTCCTTGAAATACATATAGGTAAAGTGGCATTGAATCAGAAAAACTGCAAACTCAATCAAAAAGTCAGTCACAAGAAATCCTTTGAAGTTTTTGAAAATTTCATACGTGATATTTGGAATGGTTGACAATTGAGAAGTAGCTGGTTTAAGCATGCATATTTACTTCTGTGGCAGTTTTGCATCAGGTTGATATGTATTACCCCCGATTGACTGGCTTATAATAGTTCTCTATTTTAACACCGAATGATGTTAGCAGCTCATTAAGCAGGCTTTGAGTTCGAGAAGCAAATAGTGTGCATATAACCAACTCTGCCCTCACATGTACCCACAGTTCACCTTTCTGTGGAAGGAGTTCCTGTAAAGTAGCTTGCTTAGGGACACAGGCACTGTGGTTCTGTGACACATTGTAGTTTTGAGACTGGATCATGGAACATGGAAATTTGTCAAATTTCATGCCTTTATTACGAGGGACTGCACCACAAAAACCTGAAACAACTTTCCTATCCATGTGTTGATGACAAAGGGCTGTACATGTCATTGAAGGAAGAGAGGGTTAGAGGGGGAGAGGACTCGCCCCCACACATGGCCTGCATCTTAGTACTGATTTGCTGTGTAGAGGACAAAAACCTTTGAGCTATGGATCTTTCCCCATTTCTGTTTCAGATGGAGGTGATTCGATTGAATGAAAATGTTTGCCAGCTGGAGAACGCACTTGATGAGAAGGTGAAGTAACAATTTTTTGACAGTGACATCTTACCGAGAGTTTTATCTTCCTTACTGTCATGCTTAACTTATAAACTTCATTAAGAAATGTTCATTCTTGCAGTAGCTGGACTCCTTAAACAATTTAGGTTAAGGGTACCTGTCTGATGTCGTTGGGGTGACCTTTGCACAGTTTTGTTCATAACGTCTTGTCTTCAGTGGAACTGTTCAAAGTTAAAACAAAAAAAGCAGTTTAGGACATTCATAAGTGAAGAACTAAAGGACCTAAATATCAAATATGTTTACAGTATAAGTTGGCAGTGTTATTTCTTGAAGAAGTTCCCCCAGAAATTCCTTTTTTGGCTACAGCTGACTCTATCTACCTCAGATAGTTACATTAAACATTGCGGTCACATGAGGTTCTCTATTCTTGGGTTCTCCAGACAAGCGAGTTGTCTCAGGTCTGTCAGGAGAGGGACAGCGTCATCGAGGAGCTGCTGAATAAGGCAGACGAGAACAAGACGTCTTCCTCCCACCACCTCATCAACGAGGCTCTAGAGGAGGGCTTACCGCTCTGGGAGGCGCTCAAGTCGGCCTCCAAGGTAAGACAGAAAAGTTTATCTTTGGCAAACCTGTCAAAGCTTTGCTTTTGCCTGTGCAGGTTCCTTGATGTGACAGTGTGACACTGTGACAGTCATGATTACACACAAGTAATTTTATTTAGGATCAACTGATACCCTTTTCATTCACCTCAGCTGACAAACATCGGATGAAGTTTGGTGCAGTTTCTGAATCTCCTTATTTTCCTTTTCTGAATTGCTAGTTCCATGCTAGTGGTTGGCATTTCCACCCCCTACCCCCCAAAAAAAGCATCACACTGAATAAATTTGTAATTTTGGATCAAACAACTGGGCACTATTAAGTTGAATGTTTTAGAACTACAAAGATTTAGCTTACGAGAGAGTGCTGAGTTAAGTATAGGCGTCATATACAAGGGGACTTATGGGGTTAAAGGGGAATTGTTGATATTCTTTAATTGTGCTGATACATGTCCACATTAACTGGCTGTGGCTCTGAGTACTACACGTGTCTATGAGAAGTGGATGCAGCCACTAGCCACTGGCTTCCCTAGGTGCACATGTTACTTGTATTTCAAGCCGTAGCCACAACTTTCAGGCATGGTCTAATGGGGGCAAGTGTAGTTGCAGCATATACAGTGGAAGGAATCACTTTTGCACCCATGCAGTGAGAAACCTGCCGAGCTCGCTGCACTGTCTTTGTGCATGTTGTATGCTCCTTGCATGTCATGTGCAAACCCAATCAAACCGTGTAAAAATATTAACTCACACAAGAAATCCCAGTGCCACTTGGCCTAAACGTGTATCTCCACATTTGTGTTTGGTCTGTCCAGCCGGAGATCCTGGAGGTCTTGCGTGAGGAGTTGGAGGAAGCCGGCCGTCAGAAGGAGTACTTGGACCAGCTGTATACACTCATGCTGGAAAGGGCTCCTAGCCTCTTAGCAGACCTAGAGGAGAATTTTGATGCAAGGTGAGTACAACTTCTGTTTTTCATAGACGTTATTGGTTCTTACCTTCTGATAGTCCTCACCCCTCATAATAACACATTCTCTACTCAGGGTTTAATTTTTCCCGCAAAGTTTCGGCATGGACATACTAGCCCCAATGCACTGTCCCTCTTCAGTGTCTTGTAAAAACAAATGGATTTTCATGACATTTTGCAGTTTGAAGAGTAGGGGATTTAATGGAATGACATTGGCTCCAGAGTAGCCTAAGTGAATGCAAGGCCATGTGATGGTATGGATGGTAGCCACGCAGTGTTGTGATGTCAGATTAACACTGAAACTGCCGATGTTTAGTCTCTTCTATTTTGTATAGTCATGACTAAAAGCCGGTTCATGCTTCGGGCGAATGCGAAAGAGAAGCGAATTTGACATCACAAAAATTATGCAGCAAATTTTGCTCAAGTTGAAATATGTTCAAATTTTGAAAATTTGTAACGCGAATATTGGATCTGCCCCCACAAATTCACGTTCATTTTTGCTTTCGCCCAAATAATGAACCGGCTGTTATTGACAGTACAGGAGCCCCTTGGCATATACTTTGTACGTTACCTTTCAAGTCCCAGTGGCTGTAAGAACTCCCCATCCATTCCTAGATCTAGCAGAATCCTTCAAAACTCCAAAGTTCACATTCGTGTTGCATCTTTTTTAATGTAGGAGTTTTCATTTGCATCCTGTCAAAATCAAATGACAAGACCAAGTTGTAAATAGTGGTGTACTGTACAGATACTGGCCTGGTTTATAATCCAGGATGACAGAAGGGTTAATGTCCAACTGCAGTTTGCAATCACAGTCACTGTGGCCGTTATACACAAAATACATTCCAGCCTGTTTAGTTCTAAAAAATCTTCCATAACACTCAATCACACTTTTGGGCCAACATTTCCATTTTGTTTTTTCAGTGAGCTGTCGGACAATGAGGAGTTTTGCTAGCATGCAGTCACAGTGCAATGATCAGTGAGACGTTTGTTTTCTGCCAAGGAAGTTACAAAATAAGCAAATGGTCACCTGAAATGCAAAGTACTGACCATAGTGAAATCAAATGTGTACAAATTCAAACAGATTGGACTAAAATGGAATTGGTTGTGGGTAGTTTGTATTTCATTGTACTTATTCAGAATAGAATTTATCTTGTACAAAGGTGTAAATGATGAGAGGTCTACGAAAAATTCAACACCAGCTGCATATTTGGTAGTGTTTAATTTCATTGTTTGTTGAGGGGAAATTTTCAGTACTTAAGTACTTTGCCCATGGCGTATGCAAGTGACTACCAAATCTAATTTATGAGGTGAGCAAACAGTATTTATGTCTGTAGCTCTTTCATCTGAGAATCAGGGCAGACTGTTTTAAATTTACCGAGCACACAGTGCTTGTAATATTATTTCTTTTGGAAGTTGTATCTCTCCGAGAAGTAAAATTGTTTCACCTACACCCACAAAGTAAGATAGATGTGTTTGTAATGTTGTTTGTATTACTGTAGCATTTCCATGCTCTCATTTTTTGGAAGGCTGGGTTTCACATTGTAATTTGAAGGAAGCTGATGTGTATTCTTCCTTGTTGTGTGATGGATTTGTAAAGACTGTGTTGTGACACGTCATGTATCCTGTTTATTTTCGAGGTTTTTGTTTTCAAAATGGTGACTGGGTCAGAAAAAACACACACCTAAGTATCTAAACTAGAATGTCACACATGGACATCCATAGCAGGTCCATGGAATAAGCGTAATTGTTACAGCCATCTCAGATGCAAACAGTAGGCGAGCTGGAACAAAACCCTTTCTATGATTATTTTTGCGTAGAAAGCATTTGGTGTAGGGTAAGAAGTTCACTGTATGTAACCACCCCTTTCTCTAAGCAGAGTAATGTTTCTTGTTCTTGTAAGCTTATTTGGCTTTAGTAACACCCTCTTTTTGTGAAAAGTCTTTTACAAGCTCAGTGGTTCTTGCTGAATATTGTTGGACACTTTCTCACACCTCTTTTTCAGTAGACAGAGTAAATTGTAAAAGTTAAAATGTACTCATGATGAGCAACTCCTTTTTTGAAGTACACTTATATGACTCAATTTAAGACCAGTACTTTCACGGGTTTTCACAAATGCATTCTTTCATTTTTTTTCTTAACAAGGTAAGAAATTACTGGGACTTTATAAGGCAGTGTTGATTTTAAATGCTTGCACATGCTAAGCTGTTCACAACTCTTTTTGGCCCGTTCATGTTGGTTGTGAGCAATTTGACCTTAGGAACAAATTGGTGCGAAAGATTGAATAGCCTGTCCAAGACATTTTTATGTAATGGACGAAATTCAATGGCCACACAGAATGGTTTTTGTATTTCATGTATTCATTTTGACCATGTATTAATTTTTCATTTATCATTTTACTGTTTTATCACATTTACAAGCAAAAACTATAATAGAACGCAGAAAATTATTTCATGCATAGTCCGTCCAAATCATTGGTGCAAAATTTGTTGTTCTTGAAATTGTAAAATGGTTGTGAATGTATATATGATTTTTGTAACTCATATTGGAAATACATCAGCCTCACATTACTGTGTAATTTGTAAATAAAGGAAACCGTTAATATTCAGATATTGTTGTTCTATAGAAAAATCAACCAGACTAATTTTGCTGTTTTTTTAAGTTTTGCTATGAGATTGCAAAGACTTTAGAAAAAATTTAAAAATGACAAAAGTATTTTGTTAATGCCATTATAAATTTCTGTAAGCCAGACCAAAATACAATGACTTAAACTAATGTTATGGATATCAAATTTATTTGACATTTAACCACAAAACACTGCCATTCTTACAGAAACACTTGACAGATTTCATAAAAAATCCTTCTTGCAGCCATCTTACAGAAATGCAGAATTAAAACGACTGCAAAGCTTGAAATCAAAGTAAAATATACCTCAATTGAAATGCAAGATTTGTCAACTTTCACGTACTAATCATGATTGTGGGGAAAACAGTACAGAGCTCTGATTTTGCTGGTTGAAGTCCACATCAGTATCTGAGAGAAAATACATACTTTCCCTTCTAATATCAGAGAAATATACAGAGTATAAGTATTTTGGAAGTTTTCACGTCGGAACCAACTGTTTTCTCTGTCTTCCTGGCACAAACTTGTGCTACAAACTTGACACGAGGAAGATGACATCTTTCACAAAAACACTCTCGTGCCTTCTGTCTCCGTGTTGTCCTTCACCTGATGGTGAAACCATTCAACTGTACTTTCGAAAACAAAACAGGAAATGGAAACAAAATATTTCTGAAGGAATCCATGCAATTCACAACTGCACCAATTCACTCTTACAAACTTACTGGTTTTTTCTTGTTGAAATAGCAGAAAATTCACCATAACCAAATTTTGAATTTGGAATTACCAACTGGACTGGTGGCATTTTTAAGGAAAACTAACTATAGGAGAACCCAGTCAGGAACTTTTTTGAAAAGTTTAACCCTCAAGTTGTGTGAGGCAATGAAGCAGTTAACTTGCCGTAAACTATGAAACAATATCAATTCGTCTAAAAGCATTGAGTCACAATCGACGTGTGCTGTTTTATGGTGACAGCACTACCTCAAATATGTTCACATTACCTACAACGAAGATAAGTTCAAAAGAGCACACAGGAATTGCTCACTGTCTTCAGCACCCTATACAATATGTAGTGCTTTACTTCTGCAACAGCTGCAAAAGCCTCATGATGACCGGTAGGTTACATACAGCATTCGCGATATCAACACTGTCGCTCGTGAGTGAAGGTGACTACATCTTCACAGCAACTAAGTACAGCACTTCAGCTATCAAGTACATCATCTTAACACTGGCGAGAGTAGGTAAAATTGGGAGGGGGATGAGCAGGGTTACAAATGCTTTTTTTTGGGGGGGTGGACTTTGTACACACTGGGATATCATCAAAGTGCACGCTTGTTAGAAACCAACAGGTAATCTTTTTTAATTATTAGTATTAAACTACTTGCACAATGTAACAGGATTGAAATAAATCTTTACATATGCTGTGCATTAGAGAAGAAGCTATATGTTCCCTTATTCACAATATGGCTTAAGCAGCACCTTTATAATACTGGGAGTGAGGGTAGTTTATGTGGGCATCAAGGGCCGAGGACAGAGTTTACCTTCCTCTGTGACAATAGCATTCCCATATATTAAGGGTCTCTGGAAACGGGTACAGAAATGCCAACAGTCTGGGCTCAAGACAACAAGTACTCTATCACACACAATGGGTGAGGGAAGTGTCGTTGGACATGGCAATGCACTGGGTACAGTCTAGGCCAAGGATTATGGGCTACAACCGGCCCATTGGTGGTGAGCCACCTCAGTTTCATTGGGCCTGGATGCCACGGTAGGTTTGAGACGGTCGGGGTAGACTGACAGGGCCATATAAAGGGGAGGCTGGGCTTAAGTCTCGTCGATCAGTGGAGTCGCGTCCCCACCCATGCTAGGTGCCGGGGTGGTGGAGATGGACATGGGGCTGGGCTCCGGGTAGGGGCTACGGCCGGTGTAGGTCTTGGGGCTGGGCTGGGGGTAGCCCCGGGGGCTAGGCTGGTAGGAGGCGGCAGAGGCGCGGGAGGAAGGGTTGGCAGGGCTGGCCTGGGGGTTCTTGTCCTTGGGATGACCCTGTCGCCTGGAGGCCCACTGGGCAGCTTGGCTGGCCCAGTCAACAGACGCAGCGTTGGATCTGGAATGAGGACGGGCACACAAAATAAACATGTCAAAAAATGGGCTTCCTTGCCAGGCAGAAACTTGATTGGAAAATTTGCTGGCTGAAAGAAAACACCAAACAGAGGCCAAATTTCTCTCCCTTGTCTTTGCTACATTATCACTGCCAGGCAGCTACTCTTTGTGCTAACCCTCTTTCTATTACATCCTACGCATATTTTAACACAATTTTTGAAAATCTGATATTAATTTCTGGTGAGATGTCCGACTGTTGAAAACAGTGCCAATAAAAATGTGAACTTTTCCACTGATGGTGGACTTTGAAGATGAACTAGAAGGTTAGTACACATATCTTAAATGTGTTACAAATTTAGAAAGAATTTGGACAGGTGAAATGTCATTAACTAATCCCTTTCAGCTTTGGGGCTTTTGGCATTGAACCAAGGAGAAACAATGACGTTTTTGAAACCAAATTTTGCAATTGCTCACACTGAATTCTTGTCTATCAAACTATAAGTACACAGCAAACTTCCCTAGCAGAATGCGGCCTGTCAATTTCAGAACTCATTCCTCACTTTGATGGAGCAGGGTAAATGCAGTTTCACGGTTCTGGCTCAAGATATACTGAGGCTAAAACACCCTAGACTAGGGAGAGGGATGACTTACCTGGACCCACCAGCTCGTTGGAGTTGTTGTTGCAGCGCGTTAACCACCTGCTGGGCCGTGGCTGAGCTGCTCCAGCTCTGCTTGGGCGTGGGCTGGTACTGCGGGGTGCGCAGTGGGTTGTTGATCTGCGGAGTGGTGGAGCCCGCAGCCGCTTGCGTCTGCTGGGGGGTGCGCAGAGGGTTCTGCTGTGGGGTGCGCATGGGGTTATTGGTCTGCGGGGTGCGCAGGGGGTTGATCTGCGGCGTGCGGATAGCGTTGATCTGGGGGGTGCGCATTGGGCCCTGTGAGGGCGTCTGTGGTGCAGAGGAGAAAAGAAGGGGAACAAATGCTCAGACTTAAAAAACTGGCTCTCTCTTTATTTCTGGCATTGGTTACCAAATTATCTGCTTCAGGATTCATAAAGTACTGTTTGCTTCAGATCTACCATTCACTGTTTGTAAAGGGCCTTGACAGAAAAACACTTCTGTCTCTAGTTTTGACACAACCACACCAAGGTATATGCACGCCAATGTAACAAACTTAGAGGTCTAATTCAAGAAACAGGAAACAATAAAACAACTGATGAATTCAGGTGCCAAATAATCTACAAAAGTTTCTTCACTCATTATACAATGAGAATGAAAAATTTTATTGTTACAAGGAAAACAGAGAACATTTGGAACAAAAAAGTTCATCAAAAATGTTTGATTTAACAGTCCATATTTCTACCTGCATTGCCTGGTAAGAGGGTGTCATCATGGGCGTGGCTAGCGGGTTGTTCTGGGGCGTGGCATAGGCTGGAATGTTGGAGTAGGCCCCTGAGTAGGTGCCGTAGCGGGCGGCATTGATCTGAGGCGTGGCGCCCGGTGTCTGGCGGGGCGTAGCTATGCTCATGCTGGGCGTGGCATACAGCTGGCTGTAGCCGGCGCCCGATTTCTGGATCATAGGGGTGCCTATGAGGGGAGGAAAGAAAAATGTAACAGAATTTTAGACCAGTGAATCCTCAGGAAAGGAATACTGGAGAGATGTTCCTACGAGATGTAAGCCACAAGTAATGCTGTTATTGACTTACCCATGTAGCTGTAGACTGCCGGTGTTCTCTCTGGTGCAGCAACCATAGGAGTACGATGAATGCTGGCTGGGGTTAACCCTACAGGTGCCAAAAACGATTATCATCAAATATACAATAGAAACAGGTGACAACTCAGCCTGCAGATCTGTTTCATGTTTCCATAGTTTCACTGTAAAGGCTTTACAAATGCCACATGAACGCAAAGCTAATACATTTCAAGATTAGAGAGGCTTGGAAAATGGTCCTCGGTGGAAATGAAACTCTTCGAGATCAGAAAAATCTACACGAATGAAAGCAATTCCAAATGAATACAGTTAATTTACCTCCAAAGACTTTCAATGATGCTGCTCTCAAACTTCAAGAATAATCAAACAAATTACTTTTTGGAGCATCTCAAGTCAAACCCAGAAGATGAAATTGCAGAACAAAAAAAAAGAATCCGAAATCTCCTTAGCCAAACAGAATTAAACAAAAAAAAGTAAGTTGGAGCTTTAGAATAACCTGGTATGGGGTCTCTGAAGTGTTCCTTAAACCATCGGTGCAAGGCGTTGAGTGATGGGTGGGCTTGACCACGATATCGGTAGCCTTCTGGTGTGATAGTCACATACTCATGCCTGACCTTGCTTCGTGGCTGGTAGGACAGCAAGAACTTGCCTGGATACTCCTGGTGAAGGACAGTTAGTGTAAAATAATAGTTTACAAACATAACATGTACAAAAACAGAACATAAACTTGTCCAAAAACTCCTAGCGATTCCTGCATGCACAAAGCTAAAATAAGGCATACGAATATAGTTGTGAAGTAAAAAAAAAAGTACAAAGAAATGCCTGAATATCTAAGAAATAAACAAATAACATGTATTAACAAGGCAAGTACTTGCCTTGGAGTTACAAATGAATCAGAGAATGTACAAATAAAATGAACCTCTTTTACAAATAAAATGAATTAAATGAAATGATAGCATGTAATAAAGTCTGTACAAAGTCACGGATGTTAAAAGCACTCCTAATCCAATGTTTGAAACAATTTGTCAAAACCTTAAGAAGGAAGTTTGTTCAAGACAAAATGTACAAAATAAGAGGTAAAACATTTTCATGTGCTGGTTGAAGAACAAGGGTTACCGAGGAAACTTACTGAGTCACATGTGAGTGAGCTGAGTTCTCTCAGCTATGATCAGAGAGATCAGTTGAGTAAAGATATCAACATGAATGGAACCCAGACACTGCTGAGACTGACTAAATTGCAATGTTTTCACTTTAGGAGACGTTCTACGTTTCCCCAATGGTTCGCTCACCTTGGAGAAGCTCATGAAGTAGGGGATGCGGGAAGGCGTCTTGCGCTTCTCGGCAGCCAGCAGCTTCTCCATAGCGTCGCGCTTGCCGCCCTCAGTGTCTCGGTAGTACTTGTGCTGCATGACGTCCCTTACGTAGGACGCCATGGGCTGGATGTGGCGGGCAATGATTTCATCCAAGTCTTCAAACTCCTGCACAAAGGAGTTTATCAGGAAAGATTTCCATGAGGAACACTCTGAATTTCACTTGGTTACCCTGTTGGCTCATGGGGTTTATAATGTTGTTTTGGTGGTGATATTTTGAATCACTTCCTTTTATTGGAGTTTGGCGTATAGGGTGATCTCCCCGTATGGATCTCTTTCTCTTCTTGCTTTTATATTCTTATTTTTATATCTGGATGTTTTTTGTTGTAATGTAAAGTTTAATTGATATAATAGTTAATCGTAATGTAAATTTGAATTGTTTTGGCCTTTGGCCATCGTGATTCAAATTTAATAAACCATAATAATAAATAAATAAAAAACAAAAACAACAAAATTTCATACATTTCATGTTCAATTTTAAAATACACAAAACGATACAATCCCATCAACTTGTGAGTGATCAAATTAATTGCGTGACATGTAATAGTACAAAAAAGATGCAAAATTTCATGTGGCATGCTGTGATTAAGAAAAAAAAAACATGTATACAAAAAGGAACTCTTTGTCAAATTTTCACTGAAATGGACAAAACTGTAAAATTTGACAAGTACACAGTGTAGAGCTGTAATTTGGAATACAAGGGACTTTTCACTGGTTTAACCCTTTTTAATGAGTAGGCCTACCAACTCCAATGCTAATTGTTTTCAACGACCATTTTTGACGGAGACAAACAAATATGTAGCGAAATTGAATAAATGCTTCGGGAAGTAAGGGTTTGCGTTCATTCTGGATGATGTTGAATAACTGCTTCCCATGACGCACCTCATTCCCTATCCAGAGAGATGTGCCCAGGCTGAAGGCATTCTCCTTGCCTTCCTCCCTGACGTCAATGTGGGCGTAGATTCCCTCGTCCACCTTCCATGTCACTGTCAGGTGATCTGAACCCTGAAACACCAAGCAAAGAGGTCCATCCTAAAAGTTGATCCTGGCCACATGATGCAAAGCTCTCCTAGTCTGGCATGATGGCACATACCATTATTCCCTTGGCCTTTTTGCAAGGAAAACCTTGAATATCCTCTGCTGGACAGGAAATTATGGCAAATTTCATTTGCTTTCAAAGGAAGCAGACCCATGTGCTGCAATAGAGGCTTGTCTCAACTCAAGAATTTTGACTCGTTTTGGCGGGTCAAGAAAAGGAGAAGAAACACTCAACCTGCAGGAATCTGTCACTGGATCAATGCAAGTTGTAAATAGTCACATGACTGTAGACTTTCCCACCATTCCCCCAGCATTAGTGACCAATAGAACTAGATGTATTTCAATGAACATGTAGAAAGCCCTTGGCCATTTTCTGAAGTTGGAATTCAAGCCATGTTGATTACTCTAACAGCCTAAGACAAAGCACAGAAGTTGGGCATAAAGGTTGGCTGTGTTGTCAATTTATCAGAGCTAACAACAGTGCTGGCACAGAGGCACAATAGTAGCAGCCCTTGTGCTAACAACTGAGGATAACACCACTTGCCCCAGGCCAGGCTCAGATTTCTCATGACCTCGCCCCACTGGCCTTTTCCCGTCTACCCCTGAAGGGTCAAGCGTGTATCCAGCAAGAAATGAGACTGAGGGGTACCCCCACCATGTCCAATCGCAACACACACTTTAGACTATTGTTACCTAACACATCCCCTAGGTGTCTGAAAAGAATTCCTCAGATTCCAGCAAAACAATGACCAACACAAAGCAGGGGGGGGGGGGTTTCTCTCCATCTCATACCTTGCTTCATATGGTCAAACTAGGAAGCATGCCTCTATTGTTGCTGTTACCTTACTACTGGGTCTGATGACCACTTCCCCCAGGTCCATGTTGACCAACAGCTTCTCTGCGTCCTTGAACGTGATGTTGTGGAAGGAGGGATGGACGATGACTCGCTTCACGTATGCTGCAACAAAGACAACAAGTGGTGCTTTGAACTGAAGAACCTCGTTTGGGCTTAGTTACACCACTGTAACAAAGATGCCAAAAACTGTAGGCAACATCTCACACTGCTTTAACCACTTCACGCCGGGGCATTTTTCAATGTTGATGATGCCGGACCGGCATGACTATTATTTTTTCCGTTTTCCAAATCCTTCAAAATTCATCATTTCATTTAACGGTTGTTTATAGCCGCACAAAGTAATCTTTAGGCACTACTCTAAGTTGACAGGTGACCCTGCCAAAGAGGCAGGGAACCAGCTAACTTTTGTGTGAGGGTACAATGCTTTTGACTTGTTCTTGACAGGTGCCAGTGTCACCACTACTATCATGATCCGTAGCCAAGTCATTCACACAACTTTACCTTGAGCTGTTTTCTTCTTGCTCTCTTCGTCTTTCCGCTGGTCCTTCTCAAACAGGGTGTGGTCAAAGAACGTGTCCCTGGGCGGGGCGAATTCTCCGTTCTTGTCCTGGAGGTCGGAGCTGCGGCAGGTCAGGTCCACGCGGAAGTGCTCAATCTCGATCTTGGTGATGCGGCAGTGTAACGTCATGCCGACCTAGTCAAAAGAAAAGAAACTGCTATCAGGACGATTGTGATTAGGAAACTACGGAGCATGCACTACATTGAGCCCAAAAGTTACGATACAGCATATCCATTCTCCTTGAGAAAAAATTCTAACAAGTAAGGAACCAAAAGAGCAAATATGCACAGTCACTGAGATTCACCAAACTCAAAAATGATAACTGCACATTCAGAGATGTACCTAGGATGGCCCAAAAAAAAAACAACTGAAAAATCTTTCAGAATTTATCAGAAAAAAACTGGAAATTTGGTAAAACTGGTCTTTTTAGTACATACAATTCTAAGAGGACATCAACTCTTTCATTCAAACTCCAAACTACCTGACCACAAGCAGTGAATGGTTAACTATGACATCATTGCAACTCCATCTTCACACTAAACAGATGAATGCTGATCTCTCTACTGATGAAAGTATGTTATTATAATCCTCTAATGATTTCTGAGAGTACAAGAGATGTATAAGTAGTGAGGCCTTGGATTCCAACTCCAGACAATCCAACCACTGCTGCGAAATGGAACATCGTGAAGGTCTGACAAAAGAAACTTCTGAGGTGCTGGTCTTACCTTGACTCTCTCCTCGGGGCTGTTGACCTGCTTGTCACTGATCATCTTGGTGGGGATGAACCCAGCTATGCCGTTATCTAGGCGGGTTCGAGCCCCGACAGATCGACCTGGGCAGTCACCCCCGTCAAAATGGCTCCACACCTTGGAAAAAGGAAAACATCGTCCTCAGTGTGGGATGGGCACTTCTTTCTCACAGGCTTTTGAAATGGGATAAAAACTGAGCAAAAGCACTGGACACTGGTTGTGTGAAGACTCTTTAACAGTTAGAGAGGAAGGCATATACAGTAAGGACACACTGGTTTAAACGAACACATTCTATCACAGTGGAGACCGCATTTTCAGACAAGTATTGGGGCCAAAAAAATGTTGGCAGGACAATAAAAAGCCACCCCAACGCCGGCCAAATTTGCCTCATATAGGTCATACAGTTCACACAACTTGCAGCTGAACGTGCACAAACTGGTAACATTTTTTGAGCCAGACTGTAAGGTGGCAAGGCTATTTTAAGCATCTGTCCATGAAATACTCTTCTTGAAAGTTTCCAAGCCCTTTGCTGGCCTACCTCGCTGAGTTCTGGGAAGTTGTCCTGCTGGCAGAAGGGGCATTGCCACAATCCAGTCTCGTCGTTCCTGACAGGATTGGCCTGGTCCAGCTGGTCCTTCTGGGGCCGTCGACGGGCGATGCCTGTCACTGTGCACAGGACCATCTTCCCTGCAAAACAAAAGTTTGGGATTGATAAACCCTTTGACAACCTTCCCAGCAGGCCTCAATTGATCTCAATCCACTTGACAACTTTCTATTTTGCAGTTACCCTTCCTGTCAATACAAGAGAAGTCAACCACCAAGCCTACAGTTACAATTTCATCCAAACATATTCAGATTTGCTAACCAAAGTGACTGATTTTAAGTGGGAAAACATTTTTTCAGATGTTACCTCTGTAGAAAGTCTCAGGTGTCTCCTTGGTCAACATACTGAAGGTCTCTTCAGCCGAGGGTGGGTGGTAAGGTGAGCGCAGATCCTTGTAACGATTGTTCAGCTCAGCGCGGATGTCATACAGAGTAATACTCTTGTTGCCGTAACCCTGGGAACAAGGCATCAACACCAACACTGATACTGTAGCTCATTTGTTAACTCAATTGACGCATAGAGTGAACAAATGTTAAAATGGGAACAGTGCTTGGGTGTAGGGCCATACCAAACTATTAACTCCTATTCGCACACCAGGCAGGGAAAGCAGGTGATGAAATCTGCCTTCTGTACACTGTTTCTAGGTATCACCATCAACCCTCTTTTAAACTGTGCCAAGCCTTGATAAAATTGCAAAGTGATATCTTGTGCACGCTTTGGATGCTAATTTTGTACCACTTGAATGGACAGTTCTTGTAAAATGTCATACTTTCAATGTAGGTGACCATGCACATTCACAGCTGGTACTATATAAATTCAACTGGCTTTCCATGATTGAGCTAGAACTTTGCAAACATTGATACCACGGTTATAAAAGCTGTTGATGAATGGACAAGATGTGAGAGGGGGCTAGGACGCTATTTCTCCTCCCTCCCCAGGTAGTGAAAGGTTAACTCTCTCAGGGTTTGGAGTTGGAGCTCTAAACAGCTGTTTTCCTTCAGCCACACCATCATAAAGAGGATCATCCGATTTCCAAGACCTTCTTCCGATTACATCAAATGAATGCACCACCAAGTCATTTCAATGATTTTCATTGTGCTTTGCATCATCTAAATAATAATTTTATAATCCACTGGCATATATGTTCACGCTGTACTCTCAGTGTGGTCTGACGGTTGCAAGAAAAGAAATCAAAAGCCTGCTTGGGAGGGATTCACTCCAGGACTTCCTGCTTTGACTCGAGCAGACCAAGTTTGCTGTGATCGGTTGACTGATTCGGATCCAATGCGGCCACAGGTAACACACACTGTTTATGATATTAATTTTGCTTATTTTACACGAGGTCTTACCCTTAAAAACTAATAATACTTTCAAGCTTTGGGATTTGAGGCTTTCTGTCTCATCCTACCTGTCTCTCCAGCTCCTCGGCGAATGCATCCAGGTCAAGATCCTTCAGCTTGTCGGGATTGTCCAGGATCTCTTCCAGGGCCTCGGCCGGATTGGCATCTTCAGCTGATTCATCATATTCCAAGGCATCCACGGCCATCTTGCGGGCCCACTCGTACGTCTCGTTGTGGATGCGGGTGCTGTCCAGGACCTCAATGTAGGAGTCGGAGCTGTGGACAGAAAAGATGAGAGACTCTCAATTGACTCTCCAAAGTCTGGCTGTGTGGGCTTCTGCCATGCCGACTTTACCAAGGACGGTCGGCAAATGCTAGTCAGCACCGTAAATTTTCAGTGAAATTAGATCGTTCATCAACTGAGGGATTTTTGCTTCTGCAAATAAGGTTAAAAAATGTCATCCATGCTTTAGATGACAGTACCTGTGGTTAATTTTTAAATAAACATGGTCACAAGTATTCAAACAAAAGTTGTTTATTGGGGTTCAAAATTTTGAAATTCAAGAAATGATGTTGCCCTACAAAGCTGGTACCCAAGCAACATGCAAGTAACAATAAATATTAACAGCACAAGATCTTTTTTTCAACTTTGACTTTCCACACCTTTCAGCCAGGCAGAAAATACTACAAGACAGTGCACTGTAACAGCATGGCTCTCAAGAGTGCTGACCAAGGTCTAGGTTGCACAATGAGCAAAGACTTTGTGCAATCCTTGTTATATTGTCAGAGCAAGTCAATAGAATATTGGCTCAAGTTCAAGCATGAACTACATACTTGGTGTTCCTGAGCAAGGCACTTTACACAAATTTCCACTCAGATATACATGTCTACTCACAAGGAGGCATGCACGTTTGTCTGGCATAGACAGCTGATTGTGCAGGTTTGACAAGCGCGACAGTCAATTACTGTGGACAATTTTGCAGGGTATTAAACATGGTACTAATAGGTCCAAACTCTATCTTGCCTGTCTCCGAGGGAGGCCGTGTCGATCTTGATGAACCCTGCACAATTGATGAAGACTTTGGGGCCCAGCTTGCAGACGGTCACCAGCTGGTTGCGATTCTCAAGACGCTGGTTCTGCTGCTTCAAAGTCTGATGATTACAGAGAAAGTTGAGATGCAGAGCAGCTTCTAAAAATGTATAACTGCCAAGTTGAAAAGGTCACATGGGTATGCTGCAGCCGCATAGACAAGGATTGACTATAGTTCTTCCTACTTGCAGGTGTACAAAATGCAGCCCTAGAAGCAGTATCTGGGCAGACTGTATTTCTCTGAATTATTTCAAGTGACCAGGTCTCAAAGGTATGACTGTATAAAGTACATTCTACATTTAAATCTACAGCAAGTGCATAATTACTTCTACCTTGCAGCATACAACTGTAAATTTGACTTCTTTAACATTCATGTATATACAGCCCAGGGAATGAATTAAATTTCAAGTCCTTTTGATTTCCACTGTACAGTATTTGTTCAAAAGCTCTGGCAATTTGGAACTCATTTTCTCGGGTTGTACCACAAATGTGTAGCTTTGAGTGAGCTTCCCATTTCAGTTTAGGGACAGAGAAACAGTACTACAGTTGGAGGGGGGGACAGGGGTCTTAACAGCTACATGAACAAGAACTTTAGGACCAAGGCTTAACTTACCCTTATGATTGCATTTCCCTTGCGAGGCCCCAATCCGCAGATGAACTGCACCAGGCTCTGGGTGTGGGGATGAGCAATGGCCCTGTTGATATCCACACCCACCTCGTTGACCCTGTAGATGAACTCCTGATGCAGGGCCTCCTGCAGCTCCTCCCGGTTCACAGAGTCCTGGGGGGATGGGAATAAAAAGAGTCCTATGAGCGTTCAACAACTTAAGGCCAAATGACGTGTAAGCACGCACGGATATCCTGAGCCATTCACTAGGGTGGAAGTGGGTCCTTCTCGGAATCTAGGGTCCAAAAGTGTGACGATTTTGTGTCTCCGTTACACCTAACATGTGACACAGTAACACCCTGAAATTAGCTTCAAACTACGTTTTCTGTTTGGCAGGTAATTTGCATTACTTCATTGCCCTTGAAAAGTTAAAGAATGTATGTCAGATGTGATTGGGAATGGGGATATTGGACCCCCAAATTGATAGTTTACACGTGGTGGCAGTTCTGTGAATAGGAGAGGACGTCTATACTTATCCACCATGCTTAAGTAATTCCCACTGAGTTTGCACAGACATAGAGGCTTGAACTGTGGAGGTTGAGCGTGTGTAGAGCCCTCAAGTGGCACAAGGCCACAAGGCTGGGTGTTGTGGCAAATACCATTATACGACACTGTCTTGGAATGCAAGTATAACACTGCACCAGGGGTAAATTCATTGTGAAATGGACCTATGTACTGATGACTTCACTCTTTGTTAACAAATGCACTTTCCTATGGAACCAGTGGGGGCCAACGGTTCACCGGGCACCTCAATACAGAGGCAAGTGGTTAACAGGCTAACAACCTTTAAACAGGTATTGATCATCTTAATCTCTATTACTGGAGAACAATTTTGTATGGCTCTGCATATATCACCATATCAAGTGAGCTATGAGAAAGGAATTCTGTTGAGTGGTCAAACATTAATGTCGCTTGAAATACAACCATTTGGATGTGCATAATAGAACTGCTTCCTTGAAGTGCAACACTAGGTAACATCCTCTGAGACAACTGAACGGACTGGATCACATGCACAAGTGCACAGGGAGTGGTACCTGCATGGGATGGAATTTCAGACACATGAGGTCCTCGTCTGAATTGCAGAGTCGAGCCAGTTCCACCATGGGGTCCTGCAGTCTGCGGGCCACCGAGATGGCCTGGCGTAGCAGCTGGGGGTACTTCCTGAACTCCGTCTGGGGAGGAGAGACAAGACGGCACAAGAAATCAGCTCACTTTGAGAGAGGGGATCAGCGTTGAAAGAAAACTGAACTGGTGGCGAGCGATAAATTTGCTTAGATCTTGGAGAGTTCGCATGTACATGTATGCTCTTGCACATAACATTATACTAGTGTTCATTAACCCAAAACCTAATTAAAACAAAATGCAACAGCAGTCACAAATTGTTGCAAGATGTTGCATTCAGCATGCAACACAGGTGGTAAAGTATTTTGTGCAAGTAACAAAGTGTCTATGATCTAGAGCCGTTTGCATGTATGCTCTTACATACGACATGGCAATACCATTAAACCTAAGCTGTGATAAATCCAACGAAGTGGAACAGTTAGTCATAAGTTAGTGCATGATGTTGCATCTGGCATTCACCACAAGCAGTAGGATACAACGTGCTACAGAATCAACTGTTGCATTCTGTGGGGTTCTCAATCCAACTCTGCTGCATTTGGCAAGACGCCAAAGGAAAAACTCAATGTAGCGTGGGGTTGAAGGGTTTGCTGGCCTGCTCAGGGTCTCACCTCTGCCATGTTGGTGGCGGCGTACACCTGTGCTACATTGGAGTCCAACAGCTGGACGCTGATCGGCGCAATCTGCTGCTCGGCTTCCAGGTCCGACACACACTGCTGGACGTCCTTGATCACGCCCAGGGTCACCCTGATGATAGACCAATGATCTCATCAAAATTTCATCATGCCAAGCCATTCTGCTGAGCATTTGACTTTGTCAATTTCACATCACTGCCTAAACAGGTGAACGCTGCTGCTCAGGTAACTCGGCCTCAGTGTATTTCACAGAGTCTATTACATGGAGACTTTTAAGCAGTAAGCACACCAAAACCATTCTTATCCCCAGAGGAAAAAGTTGCTTAAGACAGTGACATGACAATAGAAACCCCCATGTATGTGTATCAATGAGCTCATTTACACCATGAAACAGTGCAGCATTGTTTTCTGCTAGGTGTTTGGTGCTAAGACCATGACTGAGTTACTTGGCTGCGACTTCAAATGACACACGAGTCCATGGTTGTGGCTGAAGCAACTTCAGAGTTTGGTGTAATTTTAAGCTGCAGCCTAAAAAAAAAAAAGCCTGGAGACTAACACTGAGACAAGACCCAGGTCTGGCAAACCCCAAGAAATTAGTTGTGATTGTGGACACCCACACACCTCAACCAGAGAACGTGTACCTATATACACATGGAAAGTTCCATACAGCAGCACCCTCGGCAGTGCATGCACAAGGGCGACTTCTCCACACCTACCTGGACTCGGAGGCCACGGCCACTACGTGTGGCTTCTTGCTGGACAGGAACTCCTTCAGGGCCTCCAGGTCGGCCAGCTTGAGGTCCCGGTCCCGCTGGAAGTAGCTGTCGGCCCGACGCAGGAAGTGGGGCAGCCGAAGGAAGTCAGAGACTTCCCCGTCCCCGTCGATCATGACACAGAATGCTGCGTTGTCCCTGGCGACGAAACAGCAGAGAGAAATTACTGAGTACGTAAAGTAGCCACAAACCACTAACCAATGGCTTGTACAGTCATGTCTTATTTCCTGCCAAAGCTATAAAACTGGGGTACAGCCAAGTACATAGCTTAATAGCAACACAGTAACAATGGAAATCCTTCTCCACCAATGCACGCTCGCCGTACCAAGTTACAAAAAGTTACTGCTAAGGCCCTCTTTGCTCCAGTAAACATAAGTTCAGATTTTCTGCACTTTAGCAGACACGACACCAGCACCCAAATTCACTGCACTGCTTGATGTAAGTGAAGAATCTCTGAAGAAATTCTCTACATATGCTTACAGATGAAGCATGAACTTTTTGTGCCGGTAAACTTAGCACCATAACGTGGCAATAAGCGCTATAACAGCCACGGTATGTGGCCCAGGCTGTTTCTCTGTAGGCAGACTGGGGGAACTTACATTTCACTGGTGAATGCCAGTCCCATGACGCGCAGTCCAACGTGACCTTGACCATCCAGGTAATCGTCCTCGTCTTCCTCTAACTGCTGGTCAGCTTGGAACGGCATTACTTTCAGCCAGTCAAACATCTTCCGGCAACACATCTGTGGGCATCACAGAACAAATGATAATCAGTCACACAAATATGGCACTTGACACAGAGAGAGACTACTTTATCTTGTCGAAAGCCCAAACGACAAGTTCCACTTGATTTCCATTTGACCTCACACCAAGTCACGGCCACAGAGTAATCCGTGGTGACCTCTGAACTGACCTTAATGATGCCATCCTTAGCCTCCTGCACCAGCCTGCTCTTGAGCTCCTTGGCCATCTCTGGGTAGAGGATCTTGTAGAGGGCCGTCTCGATGGCGCTGCTGCGCTCCTTGTTCCACTCCTGCACGGTGTGGCTGAACTCGTCCCGATAGTACAGCTGCTTGATCTCATCAAAGTAGGACTGGCTTTGATAGCTGCTGTCACTGCCAAAAGACAACGCTACCTCATTACACCTCATACATATTGATGAGCTGGTTCTCTTATTCCATTGCTCAAATATTCCAGGGGAACAGAAGTAGCTACAAACCTTTTTTAATCACTGTTCATAGAACTAAGAATGACCATATAGCACAGGCTTCAGTTAGGACAATTCTTTGACTTCACTTCCTTTCTAAAAATTCCTCTGAGGCCGCACAGTAAAAAGGGATATGGACTTAATTAACTGTAAGTTAAGAAAATGTAAGTTTTTGGTGGGAAAGGAGAATAAAAAGAGCATAAAAAAGAATAAAATGCAACCAAGTTCAAATTTCATACCAAGGCATCTAAAAAACAACAGCCTTATCCACTGCTCTAGACACACTTGGATTTCTTCAAAAACTGCAACCTTATTAAAATAATCACAGCTTTTAGCAATATTTTGGTGCTTGGCAACTCCATTAATTAAGGGGAGGGAGTAGGGACGTCACCAGTCACCATAAGGTGCTGCGGTTACCTGCTACTCTTGTCCAGGTCGATGTCCATGGTCATCTTGATCAGTTTCTCTTCCTCCGCTTGCAGGAGCTTCAGGTACTTGTCCCCAAAGAGATCCTTGACCGGTTTGTTCTTCAGGTATTTACAGCCGTAGCAAGGGTGAAACTCGTCAATTTCCTTTGATGAAAAAATAACCAAAACATTACGAGGAAAGTCACAATCATACTGGACTGCATATGAATTTAGAATTGAAGACGTAGATACTTCTGCTAGCTTTGGTCTTTCCTTGGGATGTGCTTCTTGTAAGACGAGATCAGTTTGGTGATTCAAATTAACTTTAAATACACCTTCTCATAAAAAGGGAAGGAACTGATATCTGCTTTCTGAGAGGTAGTGATGGTTTATGGGTGTTAACTTTGACATGAAGCCGTGGATCAATTCCAGAACCAGCCGTATGAGCATCTACCTTGACGCCCTTCTTAGTCGGGCGGACGCTGATCTTGGCTCGCTCATAGTACGTCTGCCGGACGCACTGGCGCACCAGGGGATCGTGGGCCAGCTGCAACGCCACCATGTAACGTGCAGCCTTCATCACGGCTTCCTCTGACTGGAACTTGCTGCAAAATGGGAAAACAGGAAGAAGAGAGACACTAGCTTTTGTTTCACTGTTTAGACAAGGGAGCTGACGCTGCCACGCTTGGGAGACAATGTGAGCTGAGCTACTGTGCTTTCTAAAGCTTGGAAGTGGTGAATTGGGAGGGGGGGAACTGGTAAGTCTGGGGGAACTGGTAAGTCTTTTATCTGGTGAGTCTGGGGGAACTGGTACCTTTTATCTAATGAGTCTAGGGGAACTGGTGAGTCTTTTATCTGGTGAGTATGGGAAAACTGGTGAGTCTTTTATCTGGTGAGTCTGGGGGAACTGGTGAGTCTTTTAACTGGCGAGTCTGGGGGGAACTGGTGTGTCTGTGGGGAACTGGTGTGTCTGTGGGGAACTGGTGTGTCTGGGGGGAACTGGTGCGTCTGGGGGGAACTGGTGAGTCAAGGGGGAAAGGGAGGATATTCAAGGCTGCAAAAAATTGTAGTTTTTTCATTTCCGATAATAAAACATGGAATACTACTGATATAATAAGTTGCATCCTTTCACAGCCATCTACCTCAGAGACCTGTGTTGGAATCAGGCTTAGACCAACATGTGGAGTGGGATTGTTTTTACTGGACCAAGGTCTATAAATAATTGGGGTTTGGTCTGTGCCTCTAGTAAAACCTTTTTATTACTGTCTTCTCTACATGAGTTTTTGAAGACCTGGGTTTTGCAAGCTACCAAAATTTTGTTGTCGTTTCATTTGCATGTATAGAAAACAAAGAATTAAATAAAAAGCTTGAGCATCCAAAGCTTAATACAAGGTGTTCGTAATACATCTGGACACCCTTATGGATAAATCCTTGCTTTAAGCCTGTGAGCTAGGGTAGAACAACGGGCGCTTTTGAAGGAACCTTGCGTTCACTGCAAAGTATCAATGAAGGTGAGAAGAAAACTGTTGCAACAGATGCATAGGCTTGCTTGGAATGGCTGGCTGCCTACCTGCCGGTGAATTCCCTGGACGTCTCAGAGGGCTCCACCGGGTGCTGCTCTGGGTCATAGCGCTGGTAGTTATCCCGAAGGTTCTCACCAAACTGCTCCGGTGTCAAACCAAACTTCTTGGCTAGGGCATCTGAGCACAGCAAACAAATAAAGCTCTTCTGTGTGTATGAGGCTCTCTCCTCCCTAGACACCACTGAAGAATTCACCGTTTTGTTTCAGATCATTTTTTTCCCAAATCAATTAACAAGCGGCCAATTTCAAAATGACTGAATAAAAATAGGCTCTCTCACAAAAAATTCAAAGGCATGTACTGACATTTTCAGATAGGCATTATCCCAATGCCCTTTCTTTATGAAACACCCCCGACTCCCTGGGGTATGTGAAAAATTGCATTACACTGGAAGAATGAGTATTGTTAGGGTTCATCACATTTCCAAACCTAGGCTGCATCTGACTCTGTCATCTTGAGCTAGGTCTACATCTTCGCTCCATTGGAAATTTGTGGGGATGCAATGACAGTAGACATAGCCATAGCCATAGCTCTGGAAACCTCTTTCCGACCACCCTTAGTCATATCAGCTGTGTATCTCCAAAGGGCACATAAATGGAGCTGAGTGGCTTGTTCTGTGGATAACCATTCAACTGGGTACTTACCCAGGCCAGCCTCTTGGCAGATGGCATACATGGATTTACGGGTAGCCTGCTTGATCTGGTGGCTTGTCCCATCCTCAGTCTCTTCATTGCCGTCCTCGTCCACCTCAACCTCAACCTCTTCCTCCGTCTCCACTTCCTCTTCCGTCTCAACCTCCTCCTCAGAATCCGAGTCTTCCTCCTGGAGCAAAAGGATTCATACTGAATTCAGCTCAAGAATCCTGTAAGCTCAAATTCATAAGGCTGCTTGGCAAAAAGACTGCTTGATGGGTGTCTGCACTGATGACTTCACACTTTGTTCACGTGCCTTTTCTTGTTGGAGCAAGAGATGACATATGCAAACCTCTTTAAAGAAGCATGTATGTACACCAAAATGTGATGTCATCAGTACATATGCCTTTGAGTGCGTTGCAAAGTGCACCAGATAGATTGGATTGCAGGGGAACTCAACTTAACTCAACTTGAGGAGTCCATGGCATATCTTGGAAAGCAAAATAATTAGGTAACTCCAAATACAATTGAGAGATACTATAGGTTCACGAAATAAACTCACATCCTAATAAACACAAGTTTCATACAAAAAAAGACAGGATAATTATAGCTTAATAAATACTGTTGGATCATTGGATAAACCCACGGCAATACAAGACACTGCAGTGTTCATGCACATGTAAGACAGGGTATTAAGCAATTAAATACCATATTTTCACATACAAAGGATAACCACTACCAACATATAATGTGTGTTCAGTTAGTGAGCACAGGGCATATTTCATAGAGTACCAAAGTGTGATGTCACCGTGAACCAAAAAGTGCAGGGCAAACGAATGGAGTACGCGCTGGTGTTGGTTCACGCGCTGGTTCTTACCGTAATGCCTTTAACACCAATAATTGTGCGCGTGATGTATTCACTTCGGTACTCTATACAGGTATCGTTAAACAGTCTCAAATGCTCTTGTTGAGCCATGGCGACACAGACATGCGTCTGGGATTGAGCTTACCCTTTTGGCATCCTCTTCTGTCCAGTCTTTGTCATTCTCACTATCGCTGTCGTCCTCGTTCAGTTTCTTCTTCTGCTTGGGTCGCCTGACCATGACCTTGACCGTCTTCTTGGCGGGCCGGCGAACCAGCTTGGTGCGGACGTTCTTCTTGGGCCGGTTGAGGGCGTTGTGCATCTTGGGAATGTCGCGGCCGTAGTAGAGCAGGAAGTGCATGTAGACGTCCTTCAGCTTATCCATGGAGTCTACATCGTTGAGTCTAGGACAATAAAATCAAGTGAAACGAATGACCAAGGGACAATCATGACTTCAGGACAACATATATAGATGGACCTGTTCACCAATATCTGACCCGTCACAACAAAATGAGCATTAAGTCCCATTCCGCATTTGAGGGTTTAGACTTATATCGAAGTGGAGGTCAATTTGGGGGTACTGTAATATTTGGAAAGAGTAAGCCGTCTCCTGTTTATTTCCAAATATTTCACAGGATCATATATTTAACAATGTCATTTTCTCAGCAATTTTGATGATAGCATTATTCGTGCCTTGTCAGAAATGTTGAAACAATGTCGGGAACAAAGAAGCCAAGTCGCCCTAATAATGTCACATTGTTATCTCATACTTACACTCTTAAAGGATTCCAAATACACACCACTGAGAAAGCTCTCTTTTGCCGAATTGAAATATACCAATATCTCAATTTTAGGAAATTCTGACTTTCAGCTCATTTTGTGGTGAGGGGTCACATATTTGTGTTGAAGATGTTACGTCATCACAATCCCTGCTCATCGAGTTTATACAACATTCTGAGGATCATCTCGGCCCCCTTAGGAGATTAAACTTGATGTTGCCGTTTTGGACAAACAAGTGCAAACACAGAGGACCATCTTTCCTTACAGGTATTCATTTTTACCCCTTGGAGGGGGACGAGCAAATGGTGCCCAAGCGTCTCGCGCGTCTGGACTTCAACACACTGTTTTGGCAGAATAAGCCACAGGATATTGATGGCAATGCTCTACACCTGCAGACTAAAGCACTTTACAAGTGCCCCAGATCAGGGCTTAATTTCTTACAATTGCCAAGTGGAAACCACTGCTTAGCAAATATACAATTTGCGCAAAAAGCAGCTGAGGATTAGTCACACTCTTTGGCATTTGGCTGGTAACCCCCTTGTACTAAGCGTTTTACTCGACAAATTCTGAACGCACAATTGAACTGGCCCCAGTAGACTACAGCTATTGGCTAACTAAAGCAATCTGATGATGCAATATGGAACCGGTGTTGTAGTCAAGATCTCTTAAGACCATCAGAAGACCCCACGAGACCATTATAGGACTTCCAGTCTGAATTCAAGTCACAGGCTCTTAACATGAACTGTAACAAAAGCATTCCTTTAACACTGCTCGCTCTGTAACTCGCGAGTGGTCTCATAACTGGTCTTGTGAATAGTCTTGTCTCTGGTCTTGTGATGGTCTCGCCTAAAACACTGTGAGGAACTGTGCAAATAAGATCTTGTCTGCTGAGAGGTTAGCATGTTGCCTGGTGCTGGCAGGCAGGTTGAGGCACACCAATCAGATTCCATGCGTACCACACTTCTGTGACTTCTTGCCTACCTGTCCAGGTCGGTCTCTGTCAGGGGTCGGACAGAGTCTGGCAACAGCTCCTCCTTGCTCATCTGGTCAAACTGGTAGGCCTGCATCTTCTCAAACAGCTTCTTCAGGTTGGACTTGCGATTCTTCAGCTGACACCACTATGTTTCAAAAAGAAAAATACGCTGTGACTTTTTTATATGATGAATGTGCGACGAGGCCTGTGAAACTATGCTGAATTACAAAGGCTTAAAAACTGAAACATTTCTGCACCATGAAAACAGACACAGAAGACCTGCGTATGTAGCCACGTCTGAAATCACAAGAGCTTAAATACAACTATTTGTTAATATTAAAGGTTACTGTATACTGTTCCTAAACACTGTGATTTTTTTACTTTTGGCTTCATAGATCTAATTGCCCCTAAGCTATGACACCTGAACTCCAGCCTGTCTTGTGACTCTTCCTAAATATAACGTAAATTGTCCCTTCCCGAGTTAACTTTTTGGGATGATGAGGGCAGGTTAGGCTTTGAGAGACTCAACCAGAATCTTTTTTTTTTTTGGTCTCACCTTCTCATCCCAGTGATACACTCTGTAAAGGTCGTTGAAGTTCAGCTCTGGTTCCACGTACTCCTTCCGATAGAAGGCTATGAAAGGCACCTGCATGAGAAGAAGTAGACAGAGTTTTGTGATGAACTGTGCATCACTGTGTTGTTTGGTAACTTTGAAAAATGAGGGGCGTTGGTCAAATGACCCATTCTAAGCCTGGGACAAAGTGAGGCCAGTCCTAGGGAAATTCAGAAATTCCAACCAGACGCAACTGTTGAGCGCAGAAAACTCTTGCAGAATGCGTTAGAAGCCACAGAATCATGCTAACTACAATACCTGAGGTGGTTAGTCTACTGATTTTTGCTTTGCTTGTAGATTTGATGTGCGATATTTCATAATCTGTTCAATAAACACTATGTAAAGGAGTCCCTTGAACACACTTGGAAGTTCGACTCTTTCTCAAACTCTTTAAAAATTATGGTGAGTGCTCCAAAACTGCTTTGCTATAAGCAAACTTAAGGACCGAAATTCAAAATCCCAGATAAAGATTTTGGACTGTAATCAAAGCCATAGATGTTTGCGAAGCAGACAACCCCTCTGACACGTGCAAATGGTATTGAAAAATTTAGTTATTCACTAACAGAAAATTTGGGTGATTTTGTCTTTCTTCGTTACCTCAAAGTGCTGATTGCGCATGAAGTGGAGGGCCTCTCTAATTCGGTTCTTGGTGCGAGGTGGTTTCCTCTCATAGCCAGAGCCATAGCCACTGTCCTCAGAAAACTCCTGCGAAGACACAACACACACAAATGCCTCAGGTCAAAATAGCAACGATATGACTCTAATGTTTTGGCAATGACAGAGTGAGACTTTCTTATCTCAAATAGCCTTGTACATCAGTACAATTAACCTGCGGCATGTTGTTAACATTGATATTAGAAGTTCACATATAGGCTAATGAAACAACCACCAAGACGCACAGAGTTTCTAACTGGAAATACAAGAACTCAAGTTGAGTCATCCCAGTTAAATGGTGGATTAATGAAATGTACAGAAGGTAATTGAGAAGCCAAAGGGGGTGGAGGTGGGGTTGGTGGTGGGGAAGGGACCCCTACCTGGTTGGAGACTGGTGGAGTCAGGAAGGCCTGTCTGTAGATCCAATCAGCTTCCTCGTCAAGTTCAGCATCATCTGCTTTGGTGATTGGTACCCTGCGAAGCTGTGGAACAATTCAAACATATTATTGTTTTAAACGACAACATCTATGATTAAACCTAATGAGGTATTACAAGGTTCTGAAAAAGCTGGACTTAGAAGAATTGTGATAAAAAAAAAGGGAAAACATCAGCCAAAAATTCAGTATTCAGGTACAATTACCTGAAGCCTCTCTGGTATGTCAGCTGCTCGTATCTCATTATCAATGTCTGTGAAGTGACCCCTCTCTAGGTCACTGGGCTCAAACACCTGTGGAAGGGGTGAGAAAAAACACAACCAATGGAAATAATGCAAACCGTACCATCAAAGAGAAATGATGAAGTATATTTTTCCACACACAACCATGAAATGGCTCTTGTCAGACTTCCAACTTTGGAATTCATGAATAAAAATTGGCTTATCTGAAGGTGCTTACTGCTTGGGTATGGGCATTCAAATGTCCTGAGAAACACACGGAATATGGTTCACACTGGGGCAAACTGGAATTTAACATATCACTGTAAGGACTTTTTAATCAAAAGGTCTCTTCTAGCTCCCTTTGGTCACGAATCTGTAAACTGTAAATAGTTCATTGAGCGCTTAGGCGCGACTTCCATATTATTTTTATAGGTGCACCGCGGTCCGCCCGCCTGCGCTGCACATGCATGCACAGCAGCCTCCCGCAGCCCGCTGATGTGCGGCGCCGCGCAGCGCTGGTAGAAAACATGCATAACAATGGTTCACGGCTGAACGAATTTTATGACACACACAGTCCGCCACGGCGCGCTGCCACTAAATTTGCCTTTTTTTATTGGAAACAAATTCTGCACAAAGCTAAAACACAAAAACAAAGCTAAATGAAATAAAAAGTTTACTATTGACTTATCGTTTTGGAAAAGTCACAAAGGTTGTTGGGGGGCATGTAGTCTGGACCTGCGGCTGATCCTAACAGTAACATGCCTGCTTTTAAGAATCTATTACAATGTAGGCCTAGCCTGTATCTACCGTAGCTTTCGGAGTGTAAGCGGCAGCTTTATACATGCATGATTCTCACAGTGAAAAATATCCCTGGAGCTTATACTCTGGGCGGCTAATACCACAATATTTTAAGAATGAAATCTGTAACGCTGTGCCGTGCCATGCCTTGGCACCTCCCATCATACCTCCATGCTCCCATACAGCTTGTGCTGCTGGCTGGCTAGCCGGCCATACACGCAAGCAGTACGGTTTCGTGCTCTATGGAAACAAGTCGTTCCTGTTTTCGTTGGTTGCCGTTTAGAACTAGCCTACTCACGTATTGGAAATAAAGGAAATCAGCGCAGAGAGACATAATACACGCAGACTTGTAAAGTTACCCTCGTTTGTGCCGTTTCACACCACTCAAATTGTGTGGCGCGTCTGTTTGTTTTTGTTATTTACTGCTGTGTAATCCATATTATTTATTTTTACTGGTCAGTTGGTGACTGTTCCAAAAATTAGAACAAAAGAACTACTCCACAGCCCAACCAACGAGGACTGTAATCCATCCAGCAATAATTGGTATTTCTAGGACTTGGGAGAAGTTTAGGTTGAACAGGAACAATCGTTCGCGATCGCACACATTGGGTCACATCAATGAATAAAAACTAGGAAGAATTAATATTATTGGCGGGTTGGGAGTTCCGAACTAAAAAAAGCCGTGGTGGAGAAAAAAATAGAAACCTTTAATGCCGAGGAGGGAAAGAATTTATATATTTTGGTGGTTGGGTGCTCTGAATAGAATAATTGCGTGGTTGTGTTAGTGACAAATACTAAATACCCCACGTGATCGACGTTGGGATAGAAAATGCCAAGGAGGGAAGTATTAATATATTTGGCGGGTTGGGTGTTAGGAAAAGAAATGCCAAGGCAGGCTTTCAATCAGAAGACGCAACCAAGTCTACTGTAATACATGACAGTCCGTCAGCTGTCAATCTTTGGTTGGATTGAAGCTCCTCAGAGACTTTGGAATACTCTCCGGATTTTATTCCCTTGCTACTTTTATTTTTGTCTTGGTCTGAACAATAATGAATGGCCAGTGAAGTAATCCAGTGAAAACGGTCTTCCATACTTTTTGGAAATTTACTTTTTTCCTCAAAGCACTTGACCATTTATTGTACTAAAGTACCATCACTGACCATAACATCCCGTGATTTCCCCCATCTACATGTATACGAGGGGCACAGCTGCAATTTCGGGTAAAAAAGGAAATGACATGAGGCAAACAACCGACCATTTGCATTCATCATCCACGTTATTAACTGTTTTGGATATGTCTGGATGAAAACTTGACAGTGAGGGTCGGACGTTTAAACGTTTAACCATTTCAACGAAACAAATTAAATCTGGTAGAGAGATTTTCCAAGACATTTAAACGGAACGAACTGTTGGTTTCACAAAGCTCAATTGATGCAATCTGGGCTAATTGATATTTTCAAAAGATGCTGCGAAAGTCGACACTTCAGGAACTCTCGATAACTCAGGCTTAGAGCTGGTCTAGTCTAAACCCTTAAGCACCCTTCCCAAGAATTGTTTTGTCTAAACATCAAACAAAAATATTTGGCTGTTTTAATACTTAATATCATGATTTTTAATTGACTTAGATGCCAATACACCAAAAATACCTTGGGACTAAATGATTATTTGCAAGTGGCTCGGCAAATCCGGAAGATAAAAAATTCTGGAATAAATCCACCCCCAGCTCTGCAGGAAAATAAATCTTTTGCAGAGTGATTGACAGCTCTATTGTTCTGTTAGACACAATGTATCGTTTTTAAGTATTTGGGTCACGCAGGCTATCTTTGAAGATGCCGCTCTACGCTCTACTCCACCCTGGGCTCCACTCTATGTAGGAAGATTTGGGGGCAGATACATGGATCGTAAATTCTCAGCCAGTCCCAGAGTTGTGCCACTGTTGCCAAGAAACAGTATCACCATTGCAACAACTTCCCCTCCGTTATCTCTCTTTTTTGGAAAGTCCTATGTTGTCAACAACAGCACACTCGCATACGCTTGGACAACCACAAATGCATTGTTGTTGAGCTACGTACTTTACATGCATTAAAAACTGACTTGTTGGGCAGAAACAGAGCTGACATGCGGCGGCTTTTATTTTTTGGGGAAGTTGGTCAAACGGTTAAATGGCAAATTGAAAAGTTGCTAAACATTTAGCAAATTAAACATTAATTCTGACCCTTAAAATCTGTGAAGCACAAGTATCGTTGAATTGTTTTTTTAAATGTGCAAAGGCAGGAACATTGTTTTTGCTAGAGGTGCTTAAAATTAAAGAAATGTTTTTGCCTAGATCTCAATGACAAAACTGAAAGGGTAGAATAAATGTGTGAAGGCAATAATGCGCTCTGGTAGGGAGGTATACAACCTGGAATGAATACAATGCGATTGGCAGGGCTCAAAATCCTACCCCTAATTCTAGTGCCAAGAGCGCTGACATTGTATTAAAGCACTAATGTTTTTTTCTTTAAGTTCAGTATTGGCAGGCTCCACATACCGAAAGAAAATACTGGGGGCCGTTGGCAACCCTCAAAGGCTGGAAAGATGTTTCTACTCCATAACAAACACCTCTCAAACGTTATACAATGTATATTTCTTGTTGATAAGAAGCAAAGTATTACTTTGTGGGGTGCATTGCTTAAGTGCTCTACTTCAGAGAATTAAAAAGAAATGTCTTAAGCAGAAGAGTGGCCCAACATTTAATTTCCCCCGCTGTTCGCCAAGAATTTTATTTCCTATCCATGGACGCTTGTTCGAACACCATGCTTGTTTTGGGGACCTCACATTTTCTTTGCACAGGTTTTGTGCCACCATGGGGGCCACAACATCCAATACTGTGTGCACAGACCATGATGGGTCTTTAGTTGTAGAGGAACGAGAGGGCCGTTCTCACACATGCAAAGTAGAGGAAGCTTTAACAAAAGAATGCTTTCCTGGCAATGTATTTTTTATTCCACGCCTAATCTTAGCGGCGGATCGCGGCGGACCTCATGGCTTAGGAGGGAAGCACCTGCATTAACATAACAATAACTAGGGTACAATAGGCAGTTGACAATGAGCTCCAGCCTAGAGTTTTGCGCCCTGCGGCGCCCCATCTACTGGGGAGATTAGAGGGGCAAAAGAAGCGCCGCCAAGCGCTGCGGCGGATCGCGGCGCGCCCTTAAAGCATAATATGGATGTCTTGCCTTATTTCAAATCCAAACCCAACAATGACTCACATCATAGATGCTCTTCTTAGAGGCTCGTTTCTTGCCAGCTTTCCGGACTCTCCTCGGTACCTCCTCGCCCAACTCTTCCTCTTCATCTTCATACTACAGAGACAGAGCAAAGACCAGCACAAATCAAGCAGGGTATGGCAGGTTCAAGGGATTGGGTTGCTTTCCGGACCTCGAACACCGTCGCACTTAGTGGCAAGAGCAATGACAGTATTGCCGTTGCGTCCCTTGCAGGTCCGTCTTAAAAGTCAGTCATAAGTAAAAGGATGAACAGGGACAAAGGAAGGTCAGGGCTCATTGGAACAACTTGTGACTTTGGGATGGGTTGACCTGCACTGGACTTGCAGGGGCTTGTGATGGACTTGACTACGACGAGGAGCTAAAATCAAATTAATGACGCATTAAGCCATATCCGCTTTGAGTATTTTCCTGCATGGCTTTGGTTGTTGCAATGCAAAACATATTTTCTGACATAAATAAATATTGGGGAAGCCCATTTATTGACGGTGACACTTACCTCCGAGTCTTCCTCCAGTGCTTCTTCGTAATCCTCCCGGTACTGATCAAACTCCTCAAAGTCAAAATCCAGACCAAAGATGTCCTGGGCTTCTTGTAAGGCACTGGAAAAAACACAAACCCAAGATGGGATCAACTCTGCCACCACTGGACACATTGCCTATAATAACTGGAATCAAGCTACCTCCCTAACTGACGGAGGGAGGGGTGGGGTCAGGAACTCATTGAAATGTGAGTTTCTTGTTTCTGTTTACCGTCCTCCTTGTCGTTTCCATCCTTGATCTTTTCCCCAATGCCTTGCCCCCTTTTTCACATCTACCGTACCTTGGTTTTCTCAGCCTTGCCCTTAATGTGAATACCAAACGTGTTCTCCTTGGTTTTTCCTTTCATTCCTTGTATTTTCTGCTTGTGTGTTAATGTCCCTATGTCACTTGGACTGTGAAAAAGGGGTTTGCATAGAAATACAAATATCACGGAAAGCTAAATTTCCACATTTGTGCATTTCAGTGAAAGGTTTTCAGGATGACTGTTCCTGCATTGCTTGGAATATTTACAGACTGGATGGAGGGAGGTAGGATGACTTACGAGTCGGTGTATCTGTGACTTTTGTGACCTTTCTTCTTCCTTCTGGCAATGGGTTGGCCTTCGTCGTCCACGATGAAATCGTCTGGATCTAAGAGAGCGAAATGTTAACAAAAATTGGCGGTGCATGTATATCTACAATGGGCAGACAGTTGCTGGACATGAGCTGGGAACAAGTATTCTGAAAAGCCAAACTTGGCATGTGTATCTTTTAATAAAAATAAACAGACACATTTAATATCTTCCAACCTACAACTGTCATTGACTTTAATATCTCTCAGCATGACAGCTACCACCAAGTACATTTGATGTCAATGTAATCACTGACATAAACTTATATTGGTTAAAATGATTTCGCTCCTAGTGATCTCCACAAAGCAAGATTTTTTTTTGAGCAGCGACTCCAAAATAGCTCTGGCTCCTTCCAAAACATTTACTGAAGTTGGTCCTCTAAAAGCCACTGGACTTCCCCTATTTTAGTGAGGTTTATACTCACAGGTAGTCAACACTGCATGACAGAAGCATATTTCAGAGGCCCTGTCCTAACATATAATAGGCATGGAATTCAAGGCCTGGTCCAAATAGTAAGCTCCAATTTTTCTCCAGAAAGCCAACGGATAAGCGTCAGATGTTTACCTGACTCTTCTTCATCAGACTCGATCTCAGCGTACTGGTTGTCTTCAGCAGATATTTCGCGGATCTCTCCCTCTTCCGGCTGTACACCACACGTACACAAAAACATAACATGTCAGAAAAAAACTGAATTGAAAACTCCTCCGACTGATAATGCTGATACCAGCCGTTGAAATTTGTGAAAAGATAACTAACGGTGATGTGTGCTAGATGGAAACTATTGAATGATTACTTTTCAGCTTGCTCTGGGTTCTTGAATGCGGAACACAAAAACAAAAACCAGGGAGTGGAACTACTTTGCCATCTCTTCTAGCCTCCAAAAACCTAAAAGGCTAGACATCTCCCTTTAGATATTCAAAGGGCAACTGCAATATCTCGAAGACGACAACTCAAGCGAGGACTGAAGACACGTCTGAAGAACAAAACTCAACATTTGTACCAAAAGGGAAAGAGTTGAGACTCACCGGTTCTTCATCCTCTCCCTCTTCAATGTCGTCTTGGAAGATCTCCTTGGCGATGGCGTCGCGTTGAGTGGTCTCCGTCTGAGGCCCAGAATTCCCTTCTTCATCTTCGCTGTCCTCCTCGTCCGAGATCTGCCTAACTCGACGAAACTTTTTCTGTAAAGAGACAAAAAAGGTCAGCCACAGCTTTTAACACTCCTCTGCTGAAGTCACCCTTTGGGTCACTTGGTAAACACCTCAAAGAAGCACAGCTGTGCACTGCACCAACTGTCCCTCACAGGAATATCAGATTGCACTTTTGTGCACAACTGTGCCTCACTGTTTCATGTGCATATTTGTGCAGTAAACCAAATGCAGTGAAGAGGACTGCACAAAAGACCCTGGGTCATTTTGTGCTGGCAACCTACTGTGTACACACTGAACCTATGCAGAAATACATGCAAGAGAGTGACTGTGGGCACTTGTGCATATTTGTGCTGTAAAACCAAAGGAAGGTTAAATAAATTCACTCTACATTCACTCTATTCGCTGGACTACAGATTCTGAGAGAATGGGGGCAGTCTTGTGGATCAATATTACTGCAAGATCCTGTGCTGGCTGCTACGCTGGGACACCGACGCTATTCGGTCTTGGGAGAGTTGACCTGTTAGATACTGTTATGCTGAGCATGCTGTCACATTTAGCAAAGCTCCCAGCCAGAATATTGTGGAGAATATTGTGGAGGGCCAAGATTAACCCTAACCCCCCTACTGTGCCCATCACAAGTAGAAGTGTTTCCCGGGTCAAACTACATATTATGTGGTATTCAGATTATATATAACGGGTGTTCAGAGTTAAAAAATCACAGTATTTACCCTCTCAACCTTGACCCCTGTGTTCTCTTCAATCAGCTCATAATCATCATCTTCTAGTCTGTCATCAATTTCTACAGGAAGCGACAAATCAATGAACGTTATTTAAATCCACCAGATTCAACTTCGGGACCCTGAATTCAGATATCTAAATTTGTGATGTTTGGGATGCCAACCACATTTTTCAAAAGTGGTAAACAATTCGGCAATGAAACATGCTACAGAAAAGACATTACGGTGTTGCTTTGTTGGGATTCTCACCTCTGCGTTTGCGTTTCTTCCGCTTGCCGATGTCTCCATCTGAGTCCGACCCACCTTGGTCCTCCTCTTCGTCTTCATCATTGATGAGGTCGTCCAGATTCTCGTTCTCGCCTTCTGTTTCCACCAAAAACAGGGCAAATTTGGCACAACGCACAACTGTAATTTACTATTTACTACATTTACTGCATGGCTGCACTCAAACTGGGCCATCTGAATTGTATCATGTGTGCATGAAACTCAGCTGCTTCAGGATTATGATTCAGACTGACACAACTTGTAAGTTACCCTCACCACGTCAGATTCTGTAGGATCAGGGAATGTTTCGAACAAAAATGCTTGAGAAATTTATTATTCAAACCCAACAGACAAATTACAAATTTTGGCTATCCTCTAGAGCAACTGGTGAGAAAAAAAAGTTGTATTTAGCATTACAGAAAGTGGCTCATAAAATTGAGTTTAACTGAAAAAATTAGGCTCTAATTTAAAACTTCCCGGTTCGAGCTCTTTGTCTGTCGTTTGTTATGTCCCAAGTACAGCATTGGTCCTAACTGGGGACCGATTAATGTGGCTTCCAGTGCAGCATTACTGTAACTAATATTCAAACTATAGTTGGTACTGATGCTGTAATTGGGAAGTAATCTGCTCACCATCACCCTCCTCCTCATCTTCCTCGTCGCTGCTCAGCTTGGTATCTTCCTCCTCGGACACCTCTGCTTCGCTATCAAAGAAGTCTGCCATGGTTATACAGGCTCGTCAAGTGTTTTTCAGCTTCTTCCCTGTAAGATAAAACAGACCAAACTGATTCATAAGAAATACAATAGCAGTGAGAAGTGTCATCAAACACAAGGTCATAACAAACACCATTTTCTTACGCATCATTGCGCCTTGACATGGATCCCATTTTGGCACAACTTTTCTGGGCCTAGGTTTACTTGAGCACTCCTGCACAATAAAGTGGGTCTCCTATGTATCAACAGATGGTCCAAGATTACCAGTTTAACCAGTGCACAAATGCCAATGATTATCCCTCCAGTGATTCAGTACCCCTGCTGCAGCTAACTCTCAGTCCGTCACAACTGTAGGAAAGCAACAAGGCTCTTCCTGCTGCATTTTATTCAATTATTTTCAGCTATCATCTGGCAAAACTGGGTGAATGGATGTTCCATGTCAAGACATATGTAATACACGGACTGAGCGATAAGATACTACATGTACCAATGGGCTCTTCCAAAACTTTGGCAGCAGTTTAGCTATCTTGACATGGAACAGCCGTCGAGACGATGAAGGGTCATGTGACGTAAAAAATGATGGCGACTGAGAGAGCAAGCCCGTTAGATTGAATGGATAAAGGCAAAAAGACTGGAAAATACCTGAATAACGTGAGTGAAATCATTCAATAAATGGTTTTTAGAAAGTGGAAAGGTCAAGAATCATGTTCGTGTGCAAAAGAAATTGCGCCCACGATGATAAGTGGATGTGCCGGAATGTTCAATACGCCGACACGAAATTGCGTAGACGGATGTGTGGCTAAGGATAAATCAGGAGTGATCCCTGCCACACTAGTGCCAGCAGTAGTACCAGTAGTAGTGGGGCTAGGTAAAACTAAGATTAAAAAATGCTCGTTGATCATTAAATGAATTAATTCGAGAGAAGTTTGAGAGCATGTTTTGTCACTGATGGCATAATATCATACAAAGGATGAACATTAGGCAACCCATTTCAAGTATAAATCTTTCGTAAGGACGACTTCCTCTTTCTATCCGTTCACCTTTACAACCTCAGAAAATGCAATCACATTGAACATGTTGAAAAGTGCTTGCAAAACAAAGTGACCAAAATCGTGACAAAAAAGATAACGCCAAGACATGGCTAGTTAAAGGCCAATTTCGACTTAAATTCATACCCTGTGGAACCTGATAACCCCCTCTCACGTAAGGTGTTACACATGAGCAAGAAATCAGTTCCAAAGTGGGGAATTCTGCGCTGATTTAGATGTGACGGGACTCGGAAACTTGTCTTCTCGTAAAAAGAAATGGCGTCACTGAATTTGATGGTGCTCTGTCATATATTACACACATGACAACGGTGAACAGAAATCTTACGGAGTACCAGCCAAATATGCAATTGAAGTACGAATCAAAGAGGGCGCAATACATGTTTGTCGTCTGCATGCATCGTCGATCGTCTGCCATAACCTAGAGGCAGTATAACAACCGGGAAAAGGAATATTTATGATAATTTATGCCACATCAGACACCATGAAAGATGAATTATGCAAAGAAAACCCGCACATGCATACTCGATGCACAGGTTGTTTCACGCATATATTACGGCATTTTTCGTTTGATTTGATCATGACGGAAGAGCAACGGTCTGTGAAAGGTGTGTTGTAAATAGATTGACATTTAGATCCAACCAAAATCTTCTTGAAAGGCAAAATGGAAAGTCGAAACAGACCCTTCGCAGGTAGGTCTGAACACTGTACAGTACGTCAGATAAGTAGCGCTGTTGCGCCCGAAAATAATTATTTTGTTTTATCAGTTCTCTAACTCATATGGGAGTCGGGGGGAAAGTTAAGTACTTAACAAAGAATTATAGTTTATATTAAAGGTCTATCAGCTTCAAAATTTACCCCTAGATCTCTGGCGTTCGTCACCTCTCGTCCATTGGAGCACGGCGGACAGATTTTTCCAAATAAACGAAGATCACTCTTGGACAAATATCAAGGGATGAGTTATCATGGTTTTAACATTTCAAGATGTACTGTGCGTCGGGGAGATGTAAATTTAATTACTGGTTTTGCCCTTTGTTTTAACATGTTTTGGGTGTGGAAAGTAATTCTTATGAATATGTTGTTGCCGATGGCTTCTTCATGATGTACTACAATGGAAATTATCAACACAAAATATGTGAGGATGATTGGTGAAAGGAAAACCAAAATAATGATCTTTACCTTAAGATGAAATTTGATAAGGTTTGGACAAAAGTATTCAACACTGCGAGATGCCAAAAACAGATTCTTAATTGTAACAGCAATGAAATTTTCTTATAAACACAATTTTCCTCTATTACATGATTTTTTTCAATTTATGAAAATTATTTAACACCCACATTTATAAGTTAAACAGTGCAATGGAAAGTGCACTTTTATCAAACATCAGAAATTGTCCACGTTTTCCTGGAGGCACCAAAATGTGATGTCATCCAAAAAGGAACAATTCAACTTGCTTCCCAGGATGGTATTACAGTTTTACTTATGAATATGGAAATTTGTAGTAGCATAAAACAAAAAGGTGCCAAAACACTATTTACAAAAGAAAGCAATAGAAAACATTGAAAATAAGATTGAGACACATAGATACACTAAAGGAGTGCAACAAACATGCACTGCACATATAGGCCCTTTAAATTATTGTTACAAAAAAGATGGCATTTTGAGTTTTTCTCCTGAATGCACTTCGAAGTTCTCCTGTTCCTTTTTTTTTCCAGTTTGCAGTGTGATCATTTTTCAAGGGGCCAAATAAACTGTGGTTTGTACATGGAATGTGTTCATTTGGGCCATGCATGTTTAATTTCATGTTCTTGGGGTTAAAACTACGATCACAGCACTAAAAGTGACACTAAATAGATGGCTGACACTGGAACTGGTGGCTTGTGACAATGTTTCATTATGCTCCTAGTTGGACCCCAGTTGACTGTTCTAACTCCACTTACATTCTAGTTTGGAATTTGTTTTCATCAGAATATTAGAATAATTTATAAGGACAAACAACGATCAAAATACTTTTGGGAAAGATTAATAAATTTGGCAGTTCAATTCCCATTTTATTGTCACTTCCTGCAAGTTCTTAAAATAAATGCAGGAAAAACAATTATTCTTTTTTCATTAATTCTGTGAAATTTAAAATGTTTACATCATATCAGCTACAACAAATTTATTCATTATACCACGTATAGCAATAAAAATACATTCCTGTTAAAACACTCAAAGGTTAAGAGAAATTCCAAACATGCATTGAAAGCAAAAATCTGGCTTTACAAAGATTTTGAATGTTTAAGACTGGAACTTAATAGAGCGCATGTAGTACCAATCTTCAGCGAGCACATTCTTTGTAAGATCAGAACTAGTCGGCCATATTGAATTCAAAGCGAGGTTAACTTTTTTCACTTTGGCACTTGAGAATAAAAATGAAAGCACTGAAATAGAACGTAATTAAAAATAATGTAATTTATGCTGCTGAAAATTTATAATTTATGATTATATCTAAATGTTTTAATCACATTTAAAAAAACTGAAAGTGAGGCATGACACCAAAATAGTTTGGAACCTCCCTGTTTAACAGATTCTATTTCATTAGGTAGATTCTGGGAACACGATTAAAACAATTAGAAAAATGCCCATAAAACCAGAGGACTTTTTAAAGACAACAATATCATTTGACAGTTTGTAAGACTTTTGAGACTAATAAACGCAGATAAAAACAGGTTAACAATTCTCCAAGATGTTTAGATAAGACTGCCACATAATAAAGAAGGAATGTTTGTAGGCTAGACTCTATTTGTAAGCAAAGAGACCTTAAAATAAGAAAGCCTTGAAGATGCTAGACATGCAATGAAAATTACGATAGATAAATCTCGTTTCACCACCCACTTTTGTCAAAAATCATTTTGCAATCAGTCAAACATTGCAGAGTGTTGCAAACATATCAAATATTAAAGCAAATGAACATAATAAAAATAAGGCAAAATTTCCATGTATGATTTTCAGTGCAGTGGTTTATCAGCCATCAGAATAATGATTGCCTGTCATAAAAAGTAAAGTTTGGAAGAGAAAATGAAGCAATTACAAAATACTAATATCTTTTTTTTTCAGAAGTCTGATAGTGTTAGTGCACAGGGTGTCAAGTGATGTTTCGGATATGGAACTCTTTCCTAAAATATTGCAATTGTCATAACAGTTCAGTTGTGATCAGTTTGCATTAGATAAATAAAAGAAATAATTAGTAAAAATGTCACACAAGGACCATGAAAATAAAACACTACAGATTTTATTATTCATCTTGTTATTAAAATGCATTGTTCTAAAAATAAAAGCAAGGAAGACACATACTTTCATGTAGTAAAATTTCATTTTCATAATCACACAAACGATGCAGCGTATATTAAATTATATTTTATGTAAATGGACACCGTTTTAAAAACAAACTAATCACTACAATCAAGGCAAATTTGTTTTAATTTCTAAATGCATACAGAAATAATGAAAGTGCTCTACTTTAAAACATACTTATAATGTTCGCTTATCACCGATGTGCGAGTTACAGTTTGTCACTTCATAAAAATTAATTGACGAGCAATTAGTTTTTGAAGAAAGTTCTTGAGATTTTAAAATCATTTGAGCTAGCTAAAAAATTAATAGAATGTCCACAAACCTCAAACGTTGGGTAAACAATATTTTTTTCATGCAAGTTAACCGGCATCTACGGAGCTTTAAGAATACAGTAATAAATTATTGGTTTATACATGTATATTCATGGAGCAAGTGTTGTCTTGCGTTCGGTTGCTTATGCTGAACAGTAAAATGTTAAAGCAAATCTGCAAAATAATAAAACATATAATACATCTGTATTACACAACTTGCAGCAACTATAAATCATGCAACAGTAGAAAAACGATTTAAAAAGGTTTAAACTGACACAATAAAATTTAAAACAAAATTCTGCAAAAACATTAAATATACACTAGCACTTTTATAGTTATATAATCTATCGTATTGCTGCATAGGCGCTGATTCAGCAAACTGGGATAACTGAATTCTGTTCTTGCAAGCATAGATTCTTGCGTAGTTATCAAGATAAGTGCTTGTATGATACCTTCTTTTAATGTTATATTTGAAAATGTTGATAGCAAAAATAGAGGTGTAATATCTCGGAGGAAAATTTGAATCAGAGTTGTCAGATATCTTGCATGTTCAAAGTAGTCAATGAAGTACACTAATTTCCTGTTTGATGTTTTTTGAGAAAGCTATTGAAGAATTTAAATACAATGTACAACGTTTCAGCGCAGTTAGTGCGAAGCTGTAGTTGGGTCATGGTGAATATTCTCTCCTATATGACAATTTCGGATGCGAGATACACGCATTGTTTGAGTTAAAATTATTAAGCTGAAGAAGTCATACAAGAACCCATATACAGCATAAGTCGTATGTGCGAGATCCAACTAATATAGGTACATGTATATGCGATTTAGCTCATGTGCGAGAGAGTTTATTCTTTCAGCTTCTGTCGCTTGGCCAACTTTTGGAAATAACAGGAGCCAGGTTTGAAATGATGATATAACAAGAATACCTAAAACCTGTAGGGCTGGAATATTTGGTCAATCTTACATAATTATTTTTATTTACCATTTGTATAATACACAACTTTATCTGCACGGATTTTACATGTTACCGCATCTAAAACCTGCCATAAATATGATGCACAAGTATAAATCTCCACTTTTAAGCTACAGCCTACACATTCTGTATTTTTAGCAAGAGATTGTTCTCCAATTCCGTAGGTCCAGCGTTGCAAAAAAATGTTATGAATACAATGGATATCTCCTGTATGTTTTTTGACAAACATGTTTATTTTATAAGGTCCATTTATACACTCATAAATGAAATATTATCATCAATGTAGAAATGATTTAAAAAATATGTACTGTATGACTACCATTACAAGGATATTTATAGAAGGTGCGGTAGCACCGTGCAAGGATATCTCTTTTTTAGCATGTGTATGTGGTTCTGAATAGAACCGGAGGGCACTTGAGGGCACACGTCGTTAGGAGACTGCTGAGGTTCCGACGATTAAGCTGGTTATTGTGTCTGAAAGCGGTGAGGTGTGGAGAGGATGCTTACTCAGGATCCAAGCAAGGGCACTCAAGCAGAACATGGGATGCTTGAAGATCAATGAGGAGTGTCAGTCTGAAGGAGGGTAGCGTGGGAGAAGGTTTCCAAGGGTATAGGACCCCTAGACTAGGATAGACTAGGATCATATTCTAGGGTACTGGGAGAGACC